GAAACAAGGTTTACTGGAGGAGTCAACAAAGGCTTCCCCTGTCGACCGCGCTGCATCTAGAGTGCTGTGCTGTGCCGGATCAGCTGATTGTCGGCACAGTGTGGTGGCCATTTTTATTTAAACGAAGTGGGAATTATTTAAATCCCTGCTTCATTGACTATGTCGAGTAAACTACTTTACAGGTCTCCATCGATGGAGCTGTGTAGTCTAGACGCACCCTAATGGCACATCTACACAGCAGCATTATTTTGAAATAACTGCCTGCTGTGTAGACTCAGACAAAGTTATTTCGAAATAATGTTGAAATACTATCAAGCTGGAGGACTTCTTATTCTGACGCCTGTAACCCTCATTGTACAAGGAATAAGGGAAGTTGGAGGAAGAGTGCTCTATTTCGAAATAAGTGCTGTGTAGATGCTCCCAATATCGAAATAAGTGACACAATTGACATAGACTATACAGGGCTTGACAAACGGTGGCAAAATCTACTCGCCAGCCCCTCATTGCGCATGCTCAAGACCCACATTACTCATGTGCATGCTGCCGGTGAACGGGGTGACCGGCTGAAATCTACTTGCCACGAGCGAGTAGATTCACTGATTTGTCAAGCCGTGTGTGTGTGTGTGTGTGTGTGTGTGTGTGTGTGTGATTTACATTACAGATATAAATTTAAATTATGTAAGAAAAAATACTAAAAAATGGATAATTAACAAGGTACAAGACCCTGCAGCCACCCACCCTGAAAACCACCCAGCTTGCTGGCCCCTGCCTCCAACACACACTGTGTGTGCCCCTCTGCCTGTGCCCCCATCAGGAGTCCATATAGCCAGCTGGTACCTGTAGGCCTGGCTAACTGCTTACCCCCATGCACGCTCTGTAGTTGGGCCCAGCTTTGCAATCCCCACCCCCTATGTGCCACCAGTATATATGCCAGGGATATGCTATCTGGCCCTCAACACAAACAGCCAGTACCTGGGCCTAGGGCCCATAGCCCAAACACCACTGCCCAGAGACTTGTGCCCGGCCCCGTGCCTTGCCCTCCTCCCCTACCCTGAATTTACACCCCACCAGAGATGGCCAGTACCTTTGGCACCCGCTGGCTGGCTTCTGTGCTGGACCCCCGCTGTCTTTGGCCCCCCTGCCTCTACCACTGCCTGCCATGCAGCTCGCAGCTCCTCTGGCCCTGGCTGCTGGATCAGCCTCCTGCTGCCCACCATGTGGCTCCTCCAGCCCTGGCCGCTGGCCCAGCCCCCAGCCACCCGCCACACAGTTCCTCCGGGCTCCACCCCCCCTGGCCGCCAGAGCAGCCTCCAGCTGCCCGACACACAGTGCAGGGTGGAAATTTTTTTTGTTTGTGTGCATCTTAGAAGGAACCCTGATCCTGAGGTCTACAGCTAATCAAAAGCAAGGAGGAAAAAACAGACTTGGAATTGGTCTTACTTACACTGGCAGATGTAAAGTGCTGGCAGTTAAAAGTGCTGCTCATGGAGCGCAGCAATGAAAATGCTTTTGGGCATCCACGTTCTCAGCTGCCAGTGAATTAGCGTGACCACACTCACAGCACTTGTGCCTTTTGGAGCGATGCATTCTGGGCAGCTATCCCACACTCCTCTTCTGCCACAGAGGTTTGTGGGGAGGCGCAGGGCATCTGGGATCCTGTCCCAATGACCAGTGGTGCATTACTTTGCATCCCAGCAACCCCTGCGCTTTCATATGGCTCTGGCACCATCTTCCAATGCCTTCTGTGCTATGGGCTCTGCCTCTTTGTTGTGTGGGAATAGATCTTCTGCTGTTCATGAAAATGCTGATAGTCTTACTAACATGTCACAAGTGGCAGTTGAGTTATTCCTGAAGCTGCAAAGTGACAATGCGGAGTCCGAGCAGCATTCATACAACATGAGATTTCTTGTGGCATTCACAGAGGTGTGGACAGTGCTCCTTCTTAGTTGGGCAACAGAACACCTTCACAGGTGATTAATCAGCCCTGCCCAGTCAGAGGCCCAGGACTCAGTTCACAGAGCTGACTGAGTGGGCGGGGCTGATTAATCACCTGTGAAGTTGTGCTTCTCCGCAGCTTAGAGGGAACACTGGTGTTGACCACAGTGGAATGTCACTCTTTGGCTCGGGAAACAAGCACTGAGAGGTGCGATCACATTGTCACGCTAGCCTGGGATGACAAGCGATGGCTGCAGAACTTGCGGATGAAGAAAGCCACTTTCATGGGACTGTGCACTAAGCTCGCCCCCACCCTGTGAGGCAAGGCAAGGCAGACGCAAATGAGAGCTGCCCTGCTTATGGAGAAGCGTGTAGTGGAAGCTGGCTACTCCAGACTGCTTTCCCTTGGTGGCCAATTATTTTGGAGTGGGAAAGTCGACTACTGGACTTGTGCTGATGGAAATGTGCAGAGCCATCAATCGCATTCTGTGCTGAAAGACCATGACTGGCTTTGCACAGCTGGGCTTTCCAAACTGTGTTGAGGTAAGAGATGGCACATGCACATTCCAATTCTGACACTAGACCACCTACCTTCCGAATACAATTGCCAGAAGAGGGATTACTCCCTAGTTCTGTTGGCGCTTGTGGATCACTGTAGGTGTTTCATGGACATTAACACAGGTTGGTCTGTACATGACACACACATCTTTCAGAACACTGACCTGCTCAGAGAGCTGCAAGCAGGGACTTTCTTTCCAGACCAGATGATCACTGTGGTGGAAGTGGAAATCCCATTGTGATCCTTGGAAACTCTGCCTATCCTTTAATGCTGTGGATCATGAAATCATACATGGGAACCTTGACAGTAACAAGGAGCTGTTCTATCAGAGGCAACAGCATGGGGATGGAGGTGGGCAGGCAGATTTAGGACTCATGCTTTAAGCCGGCTCCCCAAGGGCACCGACTCGTTCCTCCTCCCGCCCCTTGCTGCCTTGGATACACTCTGCATGTAGTCAACAGGATTAACCAATAAGCCCAGGCTAATCAGTTAATCGTAGTCATCTACACATTGACATCCCTAATTCAATTACTGTGGAGTGTGCTTTTGGCCATTTGAAGGCCTGCTGGCAATGTTTGCATGGGAAACTGGACATGTCCAATGATAACATCCCTATGGTTATCACCATGTGCTGGGTCTCCACTAGTATTTGTGAAGGGAAAGGTGAAAGCTTTACTCTGGGCTGGACCACTGAGGCACAGTGTCTGGAGGCCAAGCCTGGACAGTCCAAGACCAAGGCTACTAGAGCAGCACAATGTGGGGCCACAAGGATCAGAAAGGTCTTCAAGCAGCAATTTGATGCTGAAAGCCAGTGAAACTTGTTGCTATCCATGGGAGTGTAGTTGCTGCATTGCTAGAGGGTTATTCTGATTAGTCAGTTAGTCTTACAGTGACCGTAGTTTTGCTGGGGTACACTTGCTTGCTTTCATGTAATGGAATAAAGATTCATTTGAAACACATGAATTTAATTTATTAAACACAATGTAGGACACGTGAAGCATGAAGCATCTGCACTGTGGGAGACAGGGTGGGAGAGGCAGGAAGTGAGGCATGCCCCAAGAGTTTCACAAGTTTGTTTATGACCAATGTTCATATGCAGCCCCGCTCTCTGATGTGCTGTGCAATGGGGGCTACCGTTCATCAGGGCTAATTTGTAAGTGGATGGGTGGGGAGTGCAGCAGGAGCCTGCAGGAGCCAGGTGTGGAGTGCAGCAGATGGCAATTGGGGACAGGCTGGTGCCCAAACCATGTTTGGTGGTGATGGGAAGGGTGTATTGAAAACAATTTTAGGACAGCAGCTGCGGGAGGGGGGTGGTCACGCAGGTGATATGTGTGCAGCACTAGCAGTGCCTCCAGAGTGCCCACTTGCTGCTCCATAATGTTTAGGAGCCGCTGCATGCTGTCCTTATACTCCCTCCTGTCACTGTCCCACCATTTCTTGTGTTCGGTGCCAGCATGCCTCAGGATGTCTTACAATAACTCCTCTCTAGTCTGTAACCTCCTGCTCCCAGCAAATCTCTCAAGCACTTCCTGAGACCCAACCCACTTACCAGTCATGTCATCCGCGGGCTGCGAGTGGCTCACCTCTTCAGGGATGCAAAACAGCTCCTGATTGCAAGCCTCTATGGATGCTGAGTCCTTCTCTGGCTCTGGGTCCCTCTCAACCCTTAGCACACTCTGCCACATCTTCCTCTTCCTGTCTTGGTTCACTGTTGGATGCCCCATGGGCTCTCAAGGTAACCACAGGGGTCTTTGGAGTGAAGGTAGGGCACCTCCATGTATATCATGGAGCTCTTTGTAGAACCTGTAGGTTGTGGGCATAGCACTAGAGCAGTGGTTTGCTTCCTGTACCTTGTAGTAGGCATTTTGCAGCTCCTTCACTTTGACTCTGCTCTGCAGCATATCCTGGTCATGGACCCTTTGGATCATGCACCTTGATACCCGCCCACAAGTAACATGATACCTATCTGATGGTAGCATAGTTGGGACTGGACTGCCGCCTCCTCCCCAGAGGTCTAGTAACTCAGCATAGCTCCAAGCTGGGAATCCCCTGGTGCAAGGAGAAGGCATGGCAAGCTGGAAATATGCACTGAGAACATACCACGCATTGCTGAATACACAGGAAAAGGACTTTCAAATTATAAAAAGAATGCAACGGGCAGGTCTGAGGGTTGGTCTCCTGAGAGCAGGGCAGTAGAGTTCAAACAGATGACCAAAGAGGCAAGAACAGGCATTTTGGGGAAGGATGCTAGCGGACAGTCAGGATGCAATACAACACCATGGTGTCCATAGTGGCACTCCAATGCACTATCCAGAATGCAGCAAGTGCTGCACTTCTCACGGAGGTGGTTTACCTAGAGCACATTAACTGCTGAGCTATGTGCACTAAGTGCCTTGCCAGTGTGGACGCATCAAAAGTTAGAGCACCAGAGGCTGATTTACTACACAATAGCTTGCCAGTGTAGACTTGACCATTGTAGGGATCAGAAGATCCAGTTTATCCTTACCTGGTTGTAGTGGAGGTTCACCCTGTTGGGACTAATCAGAGCTGTGATGTCGGAGTGGCAATCTGAAGCAGAGGGAGCACGATCATGCTTCACATGGATAAGCCAAGAGCCTAATCTTTTAAATTCAGGAAAGACAAAAACAAAGTAAGAAGACTGATGAAGGAGGCAGTGCAAACGCTTGAGGCTATGTCTAGATTGCAGGCTTCTTTTGGAAGTTTTCTGGAAGAGATCTTCCAAAAAAACTTCTTCTGAAAGAGAGTGTCTGCACAGCAAAAGAGCATTGAAAAAAGCGATCTGCTTTTTCTAAAGATAGCATCCATTCAGTGTGGATGCTATCTCACATTTAAGCTGTGATTACTATGGACAGAGTGGCCACCAAGTCACCTGTGCTTTTCCCCCTCTTTCCTCTTCTTTCGAAAGAACTTCCTCTTCCCCATCCACACACACCTTTTTCCAAAAGAGTTCTTTCGGAAAAAGGCTTCTTCCTCATAGGTAAACCTCTTTCTATGTCATAAACCCCCCTCTGTTCTTTTGATTTGTTTTTTTTATTGCAGTGTGATTGCAGTGTGGACGTAAGTGAAGTTTTTTCAGAAAAATGGTCATTTTTAACAGGCTTCCTGAGTGCCATGGAGCTCCCCATATTTGAGCTAAGTCCAGAGGCATAAGAACAACCTTTCACCATCCCTGGAGATTTTAGTCCCATGAATTGACAGGAAGAACAGCTGAGTAGATTGATACTCCAATGACCTGATCCAGTGGGAAGACTCTTCAGATAAAATCTGCTAAATATGACTGGACATAGAAGTCCCAGTTGTGCTTGGCTACTCAAAAGGAGTAGGCTAGATGCTTAATGTGGTATAAGTAATAGCAAAGCTCAAACCAGATGGGTTGATTTCATAAATAAGAGCACCACAGATGAGTTCCTTTAAAAAAAACCCCAAAGAATATTCAGAGGGGGATTCTGTGTCCCCTGTAGTGTTTGACAATAAGAACAATACAAGTGATTATAGTTTATCCACATATATAGTGGATACAAATTCTTTACTATATTACTAGTTGTAGCTTAAAAGATTTATTTTTCACTGTTCTGGGGTGTGGAGGGTTTTTTTGTGTTTTTGTTTTTTGGCAAATTAGATTTGAATTTGTAGCTCTTTCTTTACCACACCCACTAGCAAATAGAGGCTCTTCTTTCCAATGCAGTCACTGAGGATAGTGTGCTGTGCTAAATGAGATCAGGAAGTTTTTCATCTAGATTTCCATTCTGAAACCACATATTATTTCCTCTTCTAAAAGAGGCTGCTTTTGAGCCACTTGTACCAACTCATTTTGTAACCAAAGAGCAGATAGGAAAGTTTGTTTTAAAACTCACACTGACTTTTAATTTAAAATCCTACAGCTCAATATATAACAGCACATTGGATACACTTACAAATCTTGATTCCAGAGGTTACGTGTGATTATATGTGCTGATTGATTTTAGTCCCTGCATTCCAATCATTATGTTTTTCTGATACCAGCTAGTAGATCTGTAGATGCCAGTCATGGACTCACTATTTGCTACAGGTATGTCTTAAAGATAGTATGGGAAACCTTGGCCCCATTGAAACCAATGGCAAATAATGCCTCTGACTTCAGTGGGGCCAGAATTTTATCCATTAGGGCTACTTCTACATTGGCATGATTTTGCGCAAGAACTCTTTTGCGGAAGAGTTCTTGTGCAAAAACTCTTCCAGAATAGAGCATCTACACTGGCATGTGCCTTTGCGCAAGAGATGTGCTTTTGCGCAAGAGCATCCTTGCCAGTTTAGACGCTCTCTTGCACAAGAAAGCTCTGATGGCCATTTTAACCATAGGGCTTTCTTGGTCAAGAAATTCGTGTTGCCTGTCTACACTGGCCTCTTGCACAAGAACAGTTGCGCAAGAGGGCTTATTCCTGAGTGGGAGCATCATAGTTCTTGCTCAAGAAGCCCTGATTTCATACATTAGAATGTCAGTGTTTCTGCGCAAGAACTCGCGGCCAGTGTAGACAGGCAGCAAGTTTTGGCGCAAAAGCGGCTGCTTTTGCACAAGAACGCTCCAATGTAGACACAGCCTAGGTGTTTCAAACATGCACCCTTCTGTTGAACTATGCCAGAGTTTCATTCCAATCAGTTGTTTGCAGTGAGAAGTAGTCATATTTTTCCATTGTTCACTCTCTGACTGCAGGGGCAGCTTAGTAAAATGGCATGCCTTAACAGCCACAAAAGCTCATGATACCATCTACATGTTTTGTTAATCTTTAAGGTGCTGCTAGACTATCCATTGCAAAATGCAGGACAATGTAGCACTTTAAAGACTAACAAGATGGTTTATTAGATGATGAGCTTTCGTGGGCCAGACCCACTTCCTCAGATCAAATAGTGGAAGAAAATAGTCACAACCATATATACCAAAGGACTATCCATTGTTTTTCAAGTTTTAACAGCTATGTTGTTCATCTTTTGTACAATTCATATCAGCAATGGTTTTTAAAATATGTTCCGCTGAACACAGAAAGAAGACCAAAATAATGGCTGTCATCCTCATAAGAATGGGTCACTATTATCAAGCAGTCCAGCTATATTCACCTCTTGAACCTGATCCTGTGCTCCACTTAGGACTAAATCAAGAATTGCTTCTCCCTTTGTGCATTCCTAGACAAGCTACTTCAACAGTTATTTAAGGTGTCAAGAAACTTTATCTCTGCATCCCATCCTGAGGTGACATGTACAATATGAGAATAATTGAAACCCCATATTATTACTGAGGGTTTTTAAATTTTATTCACCTTTATAATCTCCCTGAGCATTGCAGTCACTGTCACCTTTCTGGTCAAGTGGTCAGTAATGTATTCCTAATGCTTTATTCTTATTATTTGGCTCATTTGCAATTTTTGGTTAATTTGATTCTATACTTTCACATAGTGCAGCTCTCCCACCAGCATGACCTGTTCTGTCCTTCTGATATTTTGTACCCTGATGATATCCTCATTCCATCAAGTTTCTGTGATGCCTTTTATATCAATATCCTCATTTAACATGAGGCACTCTGATTCTCCCATCATATTATTTAGACTTCTAGCATTGGAATATAAGCACTTAAAGTGTCACTTTTTAGCTGTCTGCCTTTACATGATATAATTGAACAGGATTTTTTCTCATTTGATTGTTTCAGTTTGGATCCTGCCTGTATTTTATCACGTTCCATCCTCTTCCTCCTTTCTAGGACATAAAGAATGTCCATTAATAGATCCTCCTTTTAGGGATGTCTCTGTGCAAACCACATGCTCTTCTGCACCTGTAAGTTTTCCTTCAGCTCTTAGTTTAAAATCTGCTCTGTGACCTTTTAAATTTTAAATGCAAGCAGTCTGGTTCCATTTTGATTTAGGTGGAGCTCATCCTTCCAGTATAGGGTTCACCTTTCCCAAACGTTTCACCTAACCCTAACAAATCAAAACACTCCTCCCTACACCATCATCTCACCCATGCATCGAACCCCTGCAGTTCTGTCTATCTCACTGGCCCCGCACATGGAACTGGAAGCATTTCAGAAAATGTTGCCATGGTGGTCCTAGACTTTAATCTCTTACCTAGCAGCCTAATTTTGGGCTCTAGGATCTCTCTCCTATCCTTCCTGATGACACTGGTACCAACATGTACCATGACCATTGCTCCTTCCATAAGTCTGTATAGATGTCTTGAGAGACCCAGAACCTTCACACCAGGCAGGCAAATCACCATGTGGTTCTCCCCAACATTGCAAACTCATAGCCCTTCTGAGTACTCTGTTCCCTTGCCCTTGTTGGCCCTAGCTCAGGGGTCTCCCACAGGAGCCTGCCCTGCTCTCTAAGCAGCTCTTCCTATTGGGAACATTCCTCATTCTTCCCTTCAGGATCTTTCTTCTTCTAAAGTTTCCAGTGCTTCATCACCACAGCTGGGGTCAATTTCTAATTAAGCATCATCACACCAAGCTGAGGATCACTAATTAGCCTTTCTGCTGCCAGCTCATCAGTGAGCCTGAGGGACAGCTGCTATGTCATGCACAAGGCTGAGCCCAGCTTGCCTCAAAGGGCCGGCCAGCCAGCCTATAACATGGCTATGCAGAAGATAAATGGATATGAAAAGAAACAAAGAAGTCTCGAATAAAGAGAAGATCATGTACATACAGTAAGTGGTCACAAGCCAAAGGTAGCTATATTAAAAAAAAGAGAGAGAACATTTAGGGGGACAAATACTTAATAATGTGTAGAAACTGGTCAAAACATGTAAGGTTCTAAGACTCCGTGTAACTAAAACTTTGAATACATCTAGCTAAATGATGGTAGCAAGAGCTCTCACTGAATTATGGCCGGCTTCCCAGGACAACAACCTAGAGAGGGATTGATATTATTTTTGTTAATACCTGCTGAGTTTGCTTCTTGTCTATTCTTTAGTCTCCTCTCTTCTCTTCCTGTTGCACCCCTGTATTACTACTATCTCTGCTTCCTGTATCCTCTCACTTCAGCTTTCTTCATCCTGTACTTACTCAGAAATAACTCTGGCATCTGCATAAACCTCTGACCCTTAGAAATGAGGGAGTACAGTAGCTCTGTTTATCTCCAGTCCCAGGAGATTGCCCACACTGTAAACCTTTGTGATAGCTCGAACCATTACTCTAGTTCAAGGGCCTTTCTGACCAAAGCACTCTTCTGTTTCCAGGCTTACTCAGAAATGGTCTCTTTATAAGAAGCTAGGTCACATTTAAACTGTAACATCAGGGGAATGAGTTGGGGTATAACCCTGCAAGGTACTTAGTACTGCTTGAATTGAGTGGAAGCTGAGGAGGCAATGTAAAACATTGCACAAATCCAGCTAGTGCAACCAACATTACTTTGTTACAAAATAGTAGCCTGATAGGGAGGAAAGTTCATACTCCTCCCATTGTTTTATAATATTTCTTGTCTTTATATAATTATACCGTGAAAGAAAATCCAGCCATTCAGAGTGCAAACTTTAGCCATTGGGAAGTACAGTGACTGATGCTTGCATTAAGGAAAAGAATGACCTGAATCCTCATAAACAAATGAGTAGGAATGTGGAATTTAATGTGTATATGACAAGAAGCTTGCCATTGTGACCAAAGAATTGCAAAGATGTAAAGATCGGAATATGTGGAATTTCTGAGCTGCACTGGAAGGAGAGGGGTCATTTCATGACTATGAGTGGATATAGCATGTACTACTCAGGATCCCAGAGAATGAGAGAAAACGTGTTTGCATTTATCTTATCCAAGGAAACAAACTATGTTTGGATGTAATCCAGTCACTGATAGAATCATTGCAATTTGCCTTTGAACAAAGCCAATCAATACATACCACAAGTGGGTGGAAGACTGAGTGAACGGAATCCTTCTGCTCTTACCAAAGAAGCACCAGCTCTCTGATGTACTTGTGAATAAAGTTTAACTCCACATAATCCACAATTGCATGAAACAAAAAATAGAAGCAGAGCTATCACCATAACAAACTGATTTCAGAGAGGAACAAGTTGTACCTGACCAAATAATAAATATCTGTCAGATCACTGTATTTTCTGCAGGTTTACATTCTGACTGCAATTATGGTTTGTGGCTGTGGTTGATAAGTTTTCTGAGTGATTTGAAGAGACATTCACTGAAAAGTTATCCTTGCAATGAAGGTTCTGAATGCAGAAGTTGGAACTTCAAGATGTCATAAAGAAGTAACGGGAAATAGTGATTTTGCTTTACAAAATGATAGAGTGAGCATTTAGTTGAATTCTTCTGTTCTAGAATATGAGTTTAGAATACTCTTCTAGAATATTGTTCTGGTTCTTTAAAATACCATCTTCACCCAACACCTTATATTTATACACATGGGGTTCAATTGACAGTATGATAAAGAGCCAAATCAACTATGTATTGATACAGCTGTGCTGGAGATAAAACCTTATACGTAACATTAATACTTTAAAAGGTATGATATTTAACAGGTCCACTGCATTTGAACTAGTCTAAGGTACATAACTGTCAAGATCCTGACCAAGACAGTTGGGGCCAATGGCCAGAGTGAGGTCAAATTGAGGCAGAGAGTAGGAGAGAAGTTCATAGTGAAGTTGCAGATTGGGAATTATATTAAGGATCAGATTCTGAGTCAGGTTTTCAGGGCCCAATTCAGCTGGAGAGGTCCAAATCAAGTTGAGATCAAAGCAGGAGTTCAAGAACAGGAATGTTCATAGCAGCTTTAGGAAATCCAGGCTGTTGCCTGAACATTTAGTGGAATTCCCTTGATGTTTATATAGAGTAGAGAGCAAAACAGGAGCCATGAAAATGGTGCCTGCCAGACCCTCTTGATGTGCTACTGATCATAGTCTGTGCCCACAGCACATCATTGCTGCTTCTGCGTGGCAGCAAGGAGCTGTCCATTGCCTCATTGGTCTGGTTTGGGCCTAACAATAACTTTTGTCCAGAATGGGTTTGAGGCATTAGCAAAGTTGGAAGAGAATGACCTGAACAAATTTTGGATTAAAATGAAAACCATTATGCTAAAAATCATTCCAAACTCTTAGTGTTGGACTGCTACATAATTATCCTTGAAAATGTTTGAGGTCGTGGAAAAATGACACATTCAGAAAGAAAGTCTTGGGGCTAGAAGTACAGAGGAAAGAATATAAGGAACTGAGCAGACAGATTTAAAGGCAGACTAGAGAAGATGAGTGAATATATAAGGGCAAAAACTACAGAACTTGAGAATTATTGAGAGTAATAATACAAAAGGTATGTTCACAATGGTCAGACTTCTTGCTAAAAGGTTTTCTCAGTGATAGAGTATAATAAAATATAATGGCAGAAATCTCATTGAATTTGATATTAAATGCATATGGAGAAGTTACTGTGCCAATCCCTAGGCCTCACCAGAATTACTCATAAAACAAGATGATAGAAAACAGAGTATGGAGCTAGATTCATCAATCCTGTGAGAGGAAGTGGCACTTACTATTAAGTAAGTGAAGCTTAAGAAAACACCAAGAGCAGGTAAAATGCCAGCGGAAATGTTAAAAGCAATTTGTGAACAAAGTGGTACTGAGTACACATGGAGAATTGGTAATGATGTATGGATGACTAGAAAGTGGCTGAAAGACTGAATGAAGGGTATCTTTCTGCTCTTATCAAAGAAGTAATAGCTCCATAATATCACATGTGAGCAAAGTTTTGTTTGACATACTCCAGGACTGCATGAAAAGATTAATAGAAATAGAACTACCACCACAACAAGCTGGTTTCAGAGAGGACTAAGTTGCACCTGACCAAATCGTGAATCTCTGTCAGATCACTGAAAAATCCCAAAAGTACAATTGCTTATGTGCTGCATTGACTATTCAAAAGCATTTGGTACCATGCAACATGACAGTTTTTGGAAAATACTCTCAGATATGGGGAATCCAAAGCATCTCATTGATCTCATCACAAGTCTGTAATGCCAACAACATCCCACAATGACCAACAGTTAGTAACAATGAGAGGTTTTCCACTGGGCAGGTATGAGACAAGGGTTTATTTTGCCCCCAAGTCTCTTTAACATAGGTGCAGAATTAATAAAGAGAAGCCTTGAAAGTTTTCAACAAAGTGGAAGGAGCTGGGACTTTGATTGGTGGACATCTTTTAGCCAACCTCAGAAAAGCGGATGATACAATGCTTTTTACTATAGCCACTCATGCAATTCAACGCATGATGCAGTCTGTAAAAACACTTAGTGAGGGACATGGACTATTGCTGATTGTGATGAAAATGAAATGCATGTGTGCTCACATGACTGACAAAATCAGAATGCATGCAGACATCATGATTAATGGACAAGCTGCAGAGGCAGTAGGTTAATTATCATGTATAGTTGACTAAGAGGACAGTTCCAAATAAACTGGAAAAAGACTAGGAATCACTCCTTCAATTTTGCTTCCCTTAAGAGAGCTTGGGAAAAACCTTGGTATCTCAAAATACACCAGGTATGACTGGTGAAAAGATTAATTTTTTCCATAGCGATTTGTCGATGTGAGTCATGGGAAGTTAACGTTGCTGACAAGAAGAAAATTGAAGCTTTTGAGATATGATGCTAATGAAAACTCTTGCATATTTTGTCCCCAAGCTTCTTTTACACATATGCAGAATTTATTATAAGACAAAAATTGGAAGGTTTTGACAAAGTGGAGGGAGCTGGGATTTCCATTGGTAGACATCTCTCAACTGACTTCATTCCCTTTGAAGCATCTTGCATTGGCCACTGTCAGAAGAGAGGATATAGGGCTAGATGGACCATTGGTCTGACTCAGTATGTCTGTCTGTTCTAAAACATAACTCCTGGGTGGGAAAAATGTCTGTTAGAAATATTACTGGAAGAAGCAGCCTCTCCAGCTGGAAATCAATGTAAATATAAGCCCTTTGGTCACTCTAGGCATAAAGATGGAAATAACCTCCAGAGAGTTATTATGGAAAGAATGATGATGGCTGGTAGGTCTTGTAATAGAGGATAAGAGATGGATAGCTGGTGTACAGCAGATCACTGGAAGGCCAGCTGCTGAATGCTGGAAGTTAGTAATGGATCATGAAGGCTCCTGAAAAAATGGCTATAATGTCACTGATATTCAGACATGAATAAATGGATTTACTTGTATTGTTTTTTTACTGCAACAATTAGTTAAGGGTTTGCATATATTAGTTTGTGAGTTGCCTGTGTCTGTGTTGGGAACTAAACTTCTTTTCATCATAGAAATCAGTGTAGAGAAATGGTGGCCTTGGAAATAGAATCTGAAACATAAAGATGAAATATAATAAGATGTTGATGGTGGCTTGGAATGTTCTGAGCACTCAAAATTCCTGTTAGTACCGAAGGCACTCAGCACCCCACAGGAACATTCATTCTTATGGGCTGGATTGTTCCCTTGTATGAACCTATGGAAGGTCTTCTCCATGAGCAGACCTTCTGTTTTCCATCCAGAAGGCAAAATAGCAATATGAGACCTCTATAGCAATATGAGACAGCTACTGCTTTGTATGGTGTATCCAAAGTAATTCACTTTAATACACAATAATCCAAATGATCAGCACATACATTGAAGTACTGTAGGGTGGATTGTTGTTGCCCTTTAATAAAGATGAAGAAAAAAAGGCTTTGTAAGCTCATCAGAAATCATCTCATTCGATGCCTTACAACCATGTTGTGATGTTATTGGATTGTGATATGAATATAAAAGTCACTGATGCAACTGTAATGCCAACAGGTGGAACTGAACCTGGAGCTTAGTGCATGAGCGGCGACTGCTTGAGCTAAAAGCTCTCAGCTAATGCTGTAGAGCAAACTCAGTCTTTCTCTCTGTAGGTGGTCTAAATGCCACTCGATGGGACAGTGAACCCAACCCAGCAGGTATGTGGATTACACAACCACTGTTATATGGTTGCACAAACTGAGCCAAGTAAGATGTCTATGAAAAACGTATGATTCATTGATTCTGTCTATGAAAAATGTATGATTCATTGATTCTGTTTATACCATTTGTATGCACATATCACTTTTGTATTTTAAGTTATGAATGTGGGCTATGTACTTGTATTTCAAATGTTTGCTTCTGTGAGACATTAAGAGGTCCAGCCTATTGTAAAAGGACAAGGTCAAGTGAATAGAAGTACTTGATTGACAATGAACCTTGGGTGGTGCCAATCCACATATGATGAGCTCCTCTGTGAACGTTCAGACCAGCATGGGAGCAATAGCTACTACCTAATAAGGACTGAGTCATGCATGGACAGGTGACTTTCTCATGTGACAAATTCTATCTTAGGACATACTTTAGCACAGGGAGAAAAATAAGAGTCCCTCCACGTGCCCAAAGTTATAGAAAGGGCCTTGGGAGTTCCTCTTCATTCCAGCTTCTCTCCTCTGGAGGATCTTTGCTACGAAGTGAAGCTTTAACAAAGGACTACTGACCCATCCTAACAAAGGATGTATTCCAGAGACTTGATTTAAAACAGCAGATTATTCCACCTTTACTACAAGCCTGCACAAAGAACTTTGCAGTTGGTGTATGTAATTGATTCTTTCTATCTTTAGATTTTAGATTCTAAAGGACTGGCTAACAGCATGCTTCTTTGGGTAAGATCTTAGTTATAAATTAACTTGGAATGTAGCTGCTCCTTTGGTATCAGAAGAACATCTTTTGATTTGATGAGATTGGTTTTCATAACCTCTCACCTACTGTATGGGGAGCAGAACTGGTGGTGGCACAGGACAACCGTTTGGTAAACAGACATGCTCTTTGTGACTGATTTGGTGTGCTTTATACTAGAGGACTTGTGCTGTAAGCCTTGGGCTGTAAGTAGCCACGTCTTTAAATAATTTGCCTTGATTTGATACTCTCAGTGGTGCCCCCAGAAAAGTCTATATGTACAGTTCAATAGACCCTCAGGCTATCTGGTTTCTATATCCTTGAAATCATTGCCATTCAGGCCCTGTTTAGCATGGGAGTGGAGCCAGATATGTCATTGCTAGTAGGGTTGTAACAGGGTTTACAAACTGTCTGTGGAGACAGACCAAAATTAATCTGTATACACAGTGCTGAGGGGAAATTTAATACTGGAATAATGGATATCTCTC